AGCAATGCCGTATGGCAGAGAATTCTGTTGGTATAAACCTTTGTGCGTGCTTAAAACTAGATATTTTTTTGAATCTTCACTTAGTTGCACCTGTGCATAAGCTTCTTTTACATAGATTTTTGAAAAATAAACACCACCTTGTAAACTCGCTATTAAATGTTCAATTCGAGGTAGTGGGTGTCGCTCAACTAATATATTCTTATTTACTGTAATTTTATAATCCCCACAAATCCTTTTTGACCCATCGGGTTTAACTATTGGAACTACTGGTGTGCCCCACTCACTTACCTCAATTGGAGTTAATATTCCTTCTTTCACCAGTCTATCAATTTCTTTTGAAACTTTTACTTTTAATGCAAACGGAATGCTTCTAGCTTTACAAAAAATTGGTACAGTATTATCACTGATTCTAATAATAAATTTTGATTTATTATAAACACCTCTTTCAGCGGAAAATAACTCATGGAATTTTTTAAAAGAGGCGAGTGATAGGCTGAAAATTATTACGGCTGACTGCTTCTTTCAAGTATTCTGCATAAAACTGAATAAAACTAAACTGGAAAAAAAAATGTTTTGTAGAACTTCTTCTGGTAGAGGAATAGAAGCAGACGGAATTGCCCCATTAAAAGATGAAAAAGTACTGCATCCAGTGAAAACATATGACGGGAAAAGAAGAATTGTTTCAACTGCAGGTAGTTATGCAGATAACAGTTTCAAATATCCAAAACATATATAATTATTTGTTATAGAAAGTACACTCACAATGGACAATACAGAAGCTAGTATTTCTGCAGTTTCTGAATCGTTAGCACCCCCTGTAGAAGCAGGAAGCAGTACTAAATTAGGTAAAGAACAATTTCTTTGTTCATACAAATATACCTGTATTAGTATCTATATTTTAATTAATTGATGTTTGCTATTTACTCGTATATTGTATTAATTATATTTATTACTGCATTTATACTTTGTTATTAAATTTGTTAATTTTATTTTTGTTTTTTTTTCAATTTCCATTTGAAACAAAAAAAAATAAAATTTGGTGTAATTTTGAAATGCGCGCCTTTGGTTACGCTTCATAGTGTGATGTATAGATGGCAGTGAAATTCGATGTTTTCTTTGCCAATACCATTTATATATATATTCCAAGTGTCGTCTACTAATGTGGGGTAAACTTAGATGTCACTACTATCGTCCAAATCTCGAGAGTTTTACATCTATTTACCTAGTCTAGGCTATGGCATAAGCTGTTTGACAAGTGACAGACATTATACCGCATAGTTATTATCTTTGTACTTGAATAAAAGGGATTGTTGAAATTGAAAGGCAAACAAGTTAAAATAGTTTAAAATACACCAGGAGTACCAACAGTATGGTAGTTCTTTTTTTTGTGTCTGTGATTTTAACATTTTTATTTCATGAATTACTTTTATTTTCCCTACTATGTAAAAATATTTTGAATTCGAATAAAAAGGCGGCAAGAGCAAAATCATAGAAATGACTCAAAATTATTTCGCGCCTACGCAATAGCTAAGGAGTCTTGCGGTTTTTAGCGTCGCCTAAAGTTAAGCATCTGTTTCGATTCTTAAGCGCGACTTAATTTGCCAATTCCGACCAACCAACCAATTCCGTCTTTTAAGAACTACTTAAAGCTAAGTAGTACTTATTTACGTCGGTGCAAACGGGCATCAATTGCTGAACTACTTCACTCGGCTCAGCTCAGTTGAAGTGAGCCGTTCTTGTGAACAACTCGTCTAAAGTTAGACAAGTCTATTTGCATCCTAGACTAGGTAAATAGATGTAAAACTCGAGATTTGGACGATAGTAGTGACATCTAAGTTTACCCCACATTAGTAGACGATACTTGGAATATATATATAAATGGTATTGGCAAAGAAAACTTCGAATTTCACTGCCATCTATACATCAAACTATGAAGCGTAACCAAAGGCGCGCATTTCAAAATTACACCAAATTTTATTTTTTTTTGTTTTAAATGGAAATTGAAAAAAAAAA